TTTCGAATCCCAATGGGAGTACTACAAAGAGGATGGGGCCTAAGCATATGGTTGTGGTGAACCTCCACAAGCGACCTAGCGTGGCGAAGATCTTATTGAATAATTAATCTTAGTCTCTAAAAATTGTTTCATCGACAGTAACTCCAAGTTTTCTACAAATGTGTTGTCGTCTATCTAGGCTTTGATGTACCGACAAAATGATCACTTTTCCTATGGTCGTACAGTGACCGAGCTTAAGAAAACGCTTGGCATAGCATTGAGGTTTATTACTCTGTGCATTTCAAAAACGCTATTGGATATAAATTGGCTGAATCCGAGAGATGAACTTGATAATTGAGGCTTGAGGAGACTGGGTGGACTCTTCTGCGCTAGTTTCGGATATCATCACCTGTTCGCGGCTCCGTCTAAAGCCCATTTTTTCTGTCACTCTGATCTCGTTTGCCCAACGTGTACCTTGTCCTGCTGAAACATTAGTCCATTAAATATATTCACCATTTTGATGTAATTGATAACAATAAGTAATGCATGTACAGACGGAGACTATTTGGTCTGGTGGTTGTCAACAAATCTTCTTGAATTAGTGTAAACTAGAGGATTTCACAGGAATAAATTTAATTTACGACGATGCCCGTTAAATGGCATGGAGAATGAAAGCTCAGCCCGTTTTCAATGCAAACATGGACTGTGTCAACTTGAAGATGCCGACGAACGCCTGAAATTCTAAACAATCCAAGTCCCAAAAACTGAAAAGATTTATATCTCAACTAGTGTGCTTCCCTCTGCCCTAAAAATAAACTTTATTTGGCTAAATTACTTTGTGGGTACGAATTAATTATCAATCAGTTCTTGATAACTTTATGCAATCTAGAGGGAATACAGCTCATTCAAACTTTAATGGTAGTCTAGTGATACTACTCAATTCGAATACAAGTAACGTTGTTGGCTCTATTAACAAATACAGCGACAATCTCACTATACAATATGATATGAAGGAGGCTTAGTTGACTGAAATTCATTTAGGCTTTGAGACAGACTGGTACTCATGGCAGTGAGAAGTAGTGGTAACATGTCGAAATTACACACTGCACTACTGCAATCCGAGTTTGGTTCCAGCTGGTGGTGCTGATGACCCTCAGGTGAGGTGGATTTGTGGAAAAAACTACTGGAATTAGGACCTAAGGTGACTAAAGCTCCTATCAAATGCAGTAATCACAAATGATAATATGAAAGCCTACTAATATGGATATTATGATACATGAAGGCCTAAATAGAGGCAGAAGATATGACCAAGACAATGAGACATCTAGAGTTACTTATAGCAATCCAGCCTGTGATATTTACAAAAAGCCAAATACCAACGACACTTCAGTAGTACATTGAGTTTAACGAAAAATAAGTGGTAGCCCCATCCATTTAAAGGGTTTACATTCTTATTGGAGCTCTGGCGATATAGCCAACCAGTGATATGGTTGTGATATAGAATCCAACCGAAATACGGGCGGGTTGGGAGTCCATTCCCCCTTTAAAAAAAGGGGCACTCTACATACTCCTGTTGAATTGGGTTTAAGGATGGATGGAAAATAACTGTTTTGGCGTCATTTGCATTCGGTTCGCAACAATCCATAAAGAGGAAACATGAAAGCGACTGAGCAAGAGCGAACCCAATAAAGTTGCTGAGGCTATAATATACAAGTCTTACACATTCATCCATGGAAATTGCTTCCGATTTTGGTGTATTTTCTAATTAACTATGCTTTCTTCTCCCTAGCTACATACCCAATCGACTGCTTTTTGCTTTGTTAACCGTCTTGCGACCTAATGCATAAGGAGTTTAGACACTTTTAGTGTATATAGAAGTTCTGTAAAATATATATAAACGGTTAAGAGAAGGGATCGGGATAAATGAGATTAATGGTCTAAAAGCAAACAGATTCACCCTTCGGAAAGATTTTGTTGAACGTCAGTCCTTATATTTCTTTTTCTGAGGACCCGTCTACGAAACAGCTTCTTTCCGTCTGCTGATTGGTCAGCAAAACCATCGAGTTCCGTCGAAGGCGACGCCTCTCCATCGGGTTGGGCCCGAGTCTGACCATTTGGCCCAAATCCGGTTCTCCGGGCAGCGTTGAGATGTTTTTGATCGGTCTGACGATTTTGAGCTAGTTCTGGAGCCTGCTGTCGCCTATCTCGACTTTCGTCGCCACTAGCTTCCATATCGATATAGGCCCCGACCTCAGGTACCTTGTGACGACACGGATGGAGTCGTCGTGATGTAGCATTCGCCGTTCCTCTTTGGTTCCTCTGCCCTCCTCTTCTATTGCCACGGCGCATGCGCCGATGTCGTTGAAAGACTCTGCGTCGATGACGCAAAATTTGGACGTCCAGTTTGTTCAGTTGATCGACGTGGCCCAACTCAGCCAGCTTTTCGCGAAGGTTCAGAATATGACGAGCTTTCTCCACCTGATAGTCAAATGCAAAGGGTAAGAATTCACACATCTATTTGTTCAAAACGAAAGCCAATTCTGCCTTTGTAGCACATTTGGAACCAGCCTTGATGTAAATAAGCCCTATTTAAAGAGGATATTGGAATAGCAAAGCAAGATCCGACCTCTTCACTTATGCCTCTGCCATTCTCCATGCGTTTGATGGACTTTCAGCTGGATCCCCTTACCAGGATTCCGGCAGAACCAGACAAATAATCATATAAACAAGGTTTTGAAACTATTTGTAAATCTCGAATAAGAGGTTCCCACGATTATATTAGTGGGAAAATTTAACTATCTGTCCTTCATTTCACGCAGCCTAGACTGACTAGAACTCATATTTGAGCTCGACTAAATCTGAAAAATATTTGGAGACAGTAGAGGCCTAACTCTCTAAAATACCCATTTAGTCTTCAGGTAACTAACGGCTAGGCACCCAACACTAATATTCGAAATATTTTACTAAACTTTTCTTCCAAACCTGCTTAGAAATCCTAAAGTTGAGTGAGTGTAGCAACTCCAAGAGAGAGACTAACTTTCCTAAATGCTTTTATTCGCGTAGAAAACGATCCAAGTCGAGTCAACTAGTAAGAGGACATCTAACGACTCATAATCAGGACCTCAATCATTTGGCAGTAATGGTACATGGTTGTATCTTTCAGTCCGTATAAAAAGAAGGATGAAAGAGTTTCATAAGATGACCCTTTTGGGATTGACTTGAGAGTACAAGCCATCTGCACACTTGCGATGAATCTATGTTGAAGTTTCGTTTGACATCATGTGACGGACATCGTCCGAGCATTAAACAATTATTTAATAAAACGTCAACAAACATGAAGCCAAGAATAAGGTTAGCAGTTATCCTACCTTCCTCATATAGCCTTAATTTGCCCACTTAATACGGCATCCTAGGAGTTGGCTGATAGCTCCAGGCTTCACCTACATGAATGCATAAAAATGAATTGGCTGCAGATCACGCATGAAGAAGACGTTTGCATGGCTGCTCAGCTCTTCCCCTATCAAAATTATATACATTTTGATTCTTCCATCTTGTAGCACATACTTTAGTTCCTCTTTGCATGTTTGCTGTAGTTGTGCAATGCTCCAGAGTCATGTGAGATGATTCTCTTTCTCTCACTCACTCCTTAGACCTATCTAACAGAGAAAGTTGTTACAACCCTATTTTCCAGATTCCTTACTTCTTTTCGAAGTGTTGGAGTTTGTACCATACGCAGGAGGAAGTGACTCTACCTTAGACCTATGTTGGTACAGAAAAAATATATCACTGGACATTTCCTCTAAAAGTAAGTATGATTGAAAAGAATTCATAATTTGGTCTCTCCGGAGATAGAACGATGATCGATTTGGAGTCGTGACTGTCGAATTTGGTTAAGAAACTCTTGACAAACTTTTTATGACATTGATGGACTCCAGACAAGATGCGTCTTCCTGCCAATATGACAAAGTTGCGAAAAGAGGCAAACAGCTACAATATGAAGCCAAGTCTTAAATAACCGATTGCATTCGTACCTGCTCTAAACGTGCCAGCTTCTCGAGATCGCATTGGTGGTCCAGTATAAGCGAATCACTTCTAGCCCGCCATCCCTTTATATTCTCCTCGCCACGAACATAAGTTGTGCTTGTGTCTACAACAGGCTTGCTCCGACAGCAGTCACCGTCTGAGCGATCCGTTTGAGCAAGCGTCGTAAGTAGTATGAAGGAGAGGAGGGGAAGGAGGATAGCAGGAAAGGGAATGCCAAAAGTGAAGAAAAAAGTACAAATGATATACCGGATTATGCAAGTATCCAGAAATAAAGATGGCTTAAGCGCAATCCCGAGACTAGTGGTTTGAGACAATTTAGTACTTAGAAAATCTCTGAAATATTAAAGATTTGGTGCTACAATAATATTATATGGTTTCATAAAAAAGGGGCTCATGAATCGTAGAAAGACCCGACATAAAGTAAGTTTTTAAAAACTGAATTCAAAAGGATGTGCTTCCCAAAGAAATTGAGTTAACTAAGCATTCCCAGCCATATAAAGGCACAGAATACCGAGAAACTTTTCAGGAAATTTAATTTTCTCTTCGATTTCTCTCTTACACATGCCTATTTTAAAGTTAATAGGCAGACTTTAGAGCAACGAGTGGGGTTTTGAGACTACAAGTTAATCAGACATATAAGATTCTTAATAGAAAATATCAACACAATGTGATATGGGAAAATGTCTGGCTTTCCTTTAAACTCATATCTGCCCTGTGACCCAACTGCACTCGTGGCAATGTGGTGTAGTGCCTAACGTGTCGAGATTATATGTTGCACTGTCATGGTTCGAGTCCCGCTGGCACTGTCGATAAAACCTATGCGAGATCGAAACTGCAGTCAGGCCTAAATGAGAATACCTTGTGGGAGGCAAGGCTATGTGAAATACAATGACAACGTAGGATGTGCTCATATAATTGCGGGGAATTCGACTACTAGCCCATCATCACCTTAAACGAAATAGAGAGAGTACATGTCATATATGTAAAGCACTAAAAATCATGGAGAAGTTACAAATTAATGTATGTAGCTATTCTGTGCATGTATCTACTTTCGGTGCATAGTTTTCGACGTCTTTTGTAAATGACGTATTTTGACAATTAATCTGAGAGGGCCGAGGTATGCATCAGTCTCTGAAATTCTTTGATAACTGTGAAATCCAACGTCCGACTATCTATCTATCTGTATATATATATATATTGCATAATAAGATGTTCCTTTAGAATTTATTGCACATTTTTCTCGACAGTTGGAGATTATCAAATAGGTCATTCTGACGTGACTCGTTAAATGACTACTAAATCTCGAAGGAGTAGACTAGAAGTAAAGTGCCATAATTTTGTAATTTGTAGATTCAATTCAACAATTAGGAGGCGTATAAATCAATGCAAGTAAATATGAAGGTCAAGGTAGTGTGACCTTGGGTTTGGTCGCAGTCATTTTAGCAACTTGTTCGGAGAAAAAGATAAACTTTGTGGAGGCTACCTAGTCGCGATCCTCTGTCAAAATATCCATTTCCAGCATAAGACCGTTGACTTGTTACATTCCCAGACATTTCCTTGGTATTTTAGTCAGCATCGCCCTTAGGCCAGAGTTACAACTTATCAAGGTGACAAGTGAAGCAATCCCCTTCATTGCGTTTCTGTTCAACCCTTGTGGAAGTGGTGAAGTGGGTTGCGCTAAATTATTACTTTGATAAGTTGTGATTCTGTTCTAAGTGATGATAGCGAAACACCTGAGAACGCATCAAGTCACCGATTAGATGCTGGAACTTATCATTAATGCTATGAAAAAAGACGCAGAACTAGGTACGTTGCATAAGTGGCTCTGTCATTCAGAGCAAATTGCGGAAACGAAGTCAAGTCAAACAATGTAAATAAAGCCCAGATTGAGGGAAGAGATATATGCTGTGATGAACAAAAGCTGAGTTGCGAAGAATTCCTTGATGATTTATTATGACTCCACTCTTCATTCCGAAAGCGAAGTTGAGTGGAAAGGATTCATGAGGTGGCCACATCGGAAATCAAAAAAGGAATGTTTTGGAGTTGTGATTGCTTATTGTGCATTGAAGGCACATGCTGAAGCTCTGATTTTACCCAGATGAGCTATCGTCTGTTCTAACATGACAGGCATATTAAGAAAAATAAACTATGATTTACGATTGATGTGAATACTTTCATTTCGTATGGAAATAAATGATGAAGAGATTCGTAGGTCAATCTCACCAGAAGACCTACGAATCTCTTTAACATGTATTTATTACATTCTAAGAAATTTCGATGGTGTGATATTGCATTTTTCGGTGATAGTGGCTTCTTGCTATGATTAGGTGTGAGAAAGACAAAAGCTTTGCAAGAATGAATTGGGGCCACAGGGTGGAGAGCCGAGAACTTCTCTGCGCAATCAGACAGTCTCTATCATAAGACTTTCGGTGTTGTCAATTCACGAATCCGTTGCAATTAACTGTTACTTAAAATGACATGTAGCGTTATATAATATGACGCTGTTGCAGGCTGTGATTGAGTATTGGGAAGAAAAAAAAGGGTCCCTTTTGCTCATATTCCTGATGGTAAATGGCCTGTATGCGATAAAGTAAATGTTATTACATTAAGTGAATAGGGCATATAAACACAACTTTAATTTGGATCAAATGTATTATGAATAAATAATTTGCCTATGCTATCAGAGAAATGGAAATATTTATGATTCTGCCCATATTCCGCCAAATGTGATAAGGAATTGAGCCTCTCTAACAAATACGTTTATAAGGTCTAAATATAAAAATAAAATATCCACAAACTCTCCTTGGGCTGAGATGGCAGATGATCGGAGATTTTTATTCAGTATGAATACGTTTCGAAAATATCAGTAATTTTTGAATAATAACAAGGCCTCTCCCAAATCATATTAAAAACGGCCTTCTGACTATGTGTATGAGAGTTAACATTTCTCCATAATGAACAAGACCTGATTTTATATCCTTCTGATGTGTTTGTTGATATTCGGAACTGAAGTCCAACCTAGATGAGAAACATTCAGAGAAATGAGGCTAATTGAAATTTAATGGAAATGTGGGACTAACTCATATAAATGTGTAGTATACTCCATTATTAGTTTTGAATTCATCTAAAGGGGTCTTGGCTGATAAAATTCTTACCCAAGCTGCGTGTGCTTGGCTTAATCGCTTTGTGTTTAGAGGCAGCTATAAAGGGAAAAATAGAAAGAGAGCAGTCATAGAACAGCAGCCCTCATTAGTTATGACTAGGTAAAAGGAGAATAATCAAAGTTATATTTTCAAGGCATTTTTGGCAAATTTTCGCACCAGATAAAAGAATCTGTTTTCGCCCGTAAAAGAAAAATGAGTATAGAACTGAGTGGAGGGTCCAGCAAACCGTAATCACGACCAAGTTGAACTCACCTTTTCCTGATAATTGACGTAACTGGAGATCATAGACACCTGATAGCCGATTAC